GATCTTACTTTGCCATAGCTCCTAATCCCAAGTTTCGGATGATGGGATTCTAACGTGGAGTCGGTTTAGCGAAGTCCGGCTCTACGGAAGGGGTTCAATTCGGCTGTTCCGACCTCCAAAAGACGTCTCCTTGCCTGGCAAAGGATTGGTTTTTCGGCCGTAGTTGTTTACAAAAGTCTTTGATAGAATTTTCCTGTCCGGGGAACATGAAGCACCTTGGACATACTTTCTTACGTTAGGACTTAGCTTGTTCCTTACTAGTGTCTACCAAGTCTCTCGGAGGACGCTGAGTTGGCCAGTGGACGGATGGAGTTGAAGATGGTAGAGACGAAAAGGGGGGAATTGAAGACGGATGAGAGCAATGTTAAAAAAGAGGGAGAGCAATACAGAAAGAAAGAAGATAATGTGCACAGAACGAAGGGAATCTAATAAATGATGGAAATGTCAGTGCTATACTCTTCGTAAGACTTATTATTGATATCTGTAGCTTAAGCTTTAGTACCTTCTAGCATTATGGCTTTTGACAATCATGTAGATCTTTCTGGACTAGTCGTATGTGTGTGAATTAGCTGACGCATCTTACTTTACTCAGAATACATAAATCTAGCCACCATGCATAAAGATACTAACATGTAGATCCCTGGAAATAGTCCTCTGTAAATTTTGGTAATTCCCTTGATCATACATATTATTCTCTCGTTCTCTTTGTCAGATTTACCATACAGTATTGCCTTGGAATTCAAGTCATTGTTATTTCGTGACTGTTTTGAGTACCTGCCTTGCTATTTTCTTTGATGATACAGAGTTATATGTCGCTCTGTGCTTGAATATGCTCTCAGCATAGAAACTATTTTGATTTTAAATATATTATATCATATCTGCATGATGAAATAAAGTGCAGCACCTGGCTTGCTATTTTACAATATACTATCAAAAGTAAATTAAGTAATTTATAACCCGACATGTATCCAACATAGACAATATGCAGCAGTTTTTGTGGTACCAACACATGGATTCCTGACTCATGACTAATGGCATTTTCTAGAAAGTGTCGTTTGGTCATTAACTTCAAATTTACTACCAACCTAGAACTCTTTATCTACCACGAGTGGCACTCACAAATCCACATGAATTTCCACGTCTATTGTTGTTAATTGATAAATGAAAGTAAAAATGCATCTCTGACATGCCTTTGTCACTCAGTATGACGAACTGTCAGCTAATATTCTTTGTCTTATAGTATTAAGGATAGTGGAATGTAGTTCTTGACATTAAACTGTCATAGCACCTGAATCCAATATATAGGGTCTGTCGTTTTTCCTATATAGGATTGTCTTAAATATCATATCCAACTTTGCCTGCAAAATTAGATACCATATCCCAGTTGAATGTACGTATGCCTGTTTCTTGTAAGAAGGAACATATAACAAAGAGATGTATGACAATTGATGTATATTTACTGATTAATGGCAGTAGATATATAACGCCTGACATGTAACACCAGACTTACAGCTAATGTTTAGATCATAGTGTGTTTAGTAAATATCACGACCTTCCTGACTTGTAGTGTCTAACTAGTACCAGATGACGCAATCACTTGACACTGAGCATAGATTTATAAAACATAGGCATAATATCTTTCTTATGAATATTATCCCACCTGTGACACCTGTTTTATAATGTCTAATGACAAACACATGTCACAGAGCACTGACATATACCATCAGACTCATGTCATTTACTGTAGTTGCTTTGATAGTAAGACAACGGTAGTATTTGATCTATGGCATAGCATACAGAATAAGTCACTTGAAAGATTGAACCATAGGTCTAACATTTGTGCATATATCATATAAGCTGGTTGTTCTAATGCATTCAAGATATAGCACCTAACAATGTAACTACTGTTTTAGCAGAACAAACCATTGCTTAAAAAAAACATATTTGGCATGCACTATATGATTATTCTTAACCCATACTCTTAACGGAAAATTTTAAAAATTCAATTCCCAAAGACGGACTGAGGGCAGATGAATGTAAGAGAGAACTAATCCAATGAAATATTGCTCTAATGATTTTCCTTCTGAATCCCCTTCACAAGACTAATGCTGCCAAATATATAACACTACCCCTTTCGTATTACATTGTTTTCATACTCTTTCCTTTAACCCTTTCCGTTCTAGGCTCCCTGTAACGTTACGCCATTAGCGACCAAACATAGCGTCCCAGTAAACAACGGTTAGCGTGCGTTTCTCCTCGCTTGACTCCCTCTATCCAAGAGCCAACACAGCTCCTCTGTTCTCCTGAAGAAGTTTAACAGTTTCTGCGCATTCACATTCTACCTTAATGATCACACTCTGGGGCCTCTGTGACTCTCCTCTCCAAGACGAGGGCGACAGTAATGAGCTTTAGTCTAAGTAGTATTTAAGGGCGGCTGTGTGTTTAGGTTTAGTTCAAAGGCTGTTTCTGTCTTGCTGAATTCTAGCTCTGGCTGTCTGTA